TTTTTTTTTTTTTTTTTTTTTTGTGGTGGGGTGGGGGGTTAAATAAAAGAAGAAGATACGGAAATGCAAACTATTTATTGAGGCAGTTAGGAAATGAACACGTGACAGTTGTGTGTGTTAGTTAGTTAGGAAGTTTTTAATTATTGTTAGAAAGTTGTTAGATTAGTAATGCGTGTTAGTTAGATGGTTAGTGGGTTTTTAGCTCTAGTATAAATATTGTATATTGTACAGCATTTCAGTTAGTAAAAAGAGAAAAACTGATTCTCTCCCTCTCGTCTCCTTCCTCTGTTATCATTCTTCCATAGCTGAAGCTCAAAACTCAGCTTGCATGGCTGTTTAGCACAGCTTTCCTCATGGTATCAGAGCAGAGAGGTCATTAATATGGACCTAACCTCATCTATCTTAGCTTAGTTTCCGGGATTCATTTTTAATTCTGTAGTTTCATCTTCTCTTCTGCGAATCTAGGGCACGAATTGAAGAGATCCTAAAATGGCGACTGTTGATGGTACATTGCCAAAAAATCTAAGTCACAATCATCCTCTATTCCTACACTCGACACACAATTCAAGAGTTGTTTTGATTTCAGTGCAATTTACAGGATCAAACAATTACTCTGCGTGTATTGCGATATTAGGTCGCAACAAAATAGGATTCATTGAAGGCACCTGTAAGAAGGAAGATTACGGTACGAATTTGACAGATATGTGGGAGATATGCAATGCGATTGTCCTCTCGTGGATAATGAACTGTGTATCGAGTGATTTGCTAAGTGGAATTGTGTATTCCTCAAATGCATGTGCTGTTTGGAAGGATTTGAAAGAGAGATTTGATAAAGTCAATGGTTCTAGAATTCTCCAGTTACACAGGGCTATAGCTACTGCGAGTTAAGGAACAAGCTCAATTGCAACTTATTTCTCAAAGTTGCGTGAACTTTGGGCTGAATTTGATTGTTTGGCACCAACTCCTGGTTGTGATTGCCCAAGTCAAGTGAATATGAGGTTTTTATGCGTAGGCAGAAGATATTGCAGTTCCTTATGGGGCTCAATGAGACATATGAAGGCAGACCTGGACATTAGACTCTGGCACAGAAGGCTTGGACATGCTTTAGCAGGAGCACTAAAGCAACTTTTTTCATTAGTCTATAATGAATGTAAAGGAAAGATAGACAACTGTAATGTGTGTCCTTTAGCTAAACATTGCAAGCTGTCATTTAGCATAAGCAGTAGTAGAGTTGAAGATGTGTTTCACTTGTTACATGTTGATGTATGGGGACCATATGTTGTGCAAACCTTTGATGGTAACAAACTGTTTTTGACAATTGTTGATGATCATTCAAGAATGTCTTGGGTTTACTTGTTGAAATTGAAAAGGGATGTGTTGATTTTACTGAGAAATCTTTTAAAGTTAGTTCAGACTCAATTCAATAGACAAGTTAAAGTGATAGAACTGATAATGAGATAGAATTTGTAAGTGAGGCATGTAGCAAGTTGTTCCAGTCGAATGGAATCATTCACCAGAGGACATGTGTTTATACGCAGCAGCAGAATGGAATTGCTGAAAGAAAGCACAGACATGTCTGGAGATAGCAAGAGCCATGAGATTTCAAGGACACATACCTTTGAGATTTTGGGGACACTGTGTGCTGGCAGCAGTGTATGTCATTAATAGATTACCATCAAGTGTAAGTATTTAACTTATCCGATTTTCTCTCTCTACTTTCTTAAGCTCTCAGGCACACTCCCCGAGGAGTCTGAGAACAAGGAATCTTGAGACTCCATAAACATCATTAGCATGCCTATTCAATTCCGACCACCCCTCTGAAAACAGCTCCGACAAAGAACCTTTCACGCGCCCCCACGCGCAGCTCGTTCCGGCGAGACAAATGCCACGCGCCGGCGCGTGAGCAACATCCCGACCACTTTTCAAAATTTTCTTGTTGGACAGCCCGCTCACTGGGTAATTCCGAGCACATCCATACAATCTTTTCTGAATTCCGACAACTTTTATTTTTTCCGGTGGCGGGGAACCCTTCTCTGTCCAGATTTCTGGTTTCTGTTCTTTTTTTTCAGGTTTTCTAGCTCACTGTGATAATTTCCAAACAACCTCTATAATTTCATAACCTGAGCAGCTGGTTAGTACAATATGGGAGACAACAGGATATATTTCAACGCAGGATTCAAATCTTTTGACATCACCAGATGGAACTCCAACAAAGACACATGGTTTGAATGGGTGGAGAGAAGCCGCAACATGATGAGAAGATCATCCATGGGTAGAAAGGCAATGGAATGGATCTGCTTTGCACTTAAAGAAGCGTAACAGATCAAAACAATCTAGTGAAGAGATGGAAGTACAAGGAGCAAATGACAAAACATTTCTGTACTAGGAAATTTAACGCTCATGGAAGATATATGAGTATTCTGTCACTGAAGGGAAAAGGGAGGTCAGTGATCATAATCCCAGAGTTAACTTTGAATTTTGGCTGGAAAGACATAGCAGCTAAGATAGAAAAATTCATTTATCAGACCACCAAGCTGAATTCCATAGTACCACTCAGAAACACTGTGGACAATTTCCCTCATGCCCAAGAAGTTAAGGAGAGTAAAAGGCAATCCAATACCCTTCGAGAGGCAAGGGTCAGCACGAACAATGGCGATATCTTTGTTTTGGAACCTACTGGAGGAGAGGACACAGGTCTACTAAAAAGATGCATTATCGGGTTTTTTTGGGAAAGAAATCAATGAGAGACCCACTTTAGCAGACATAAGGCGATGGGCTAGTGCTTCATGGAACAAAGCATATGGAGTAAACATGTACGAAATGACAGGCAACATGTTTCTTTTTGAATTTCCAAACAGATTCATGGCGGAGCAAAGTTTGCAAGGAGAATGGAGATGGAAAAAGTTCAAGCTTCATCTGGAATGGTGGAATCATACTGCTAGATGCATTCCAAACTCACAAATTGAGGAAACATGCTGGATTAGAGCCATGGGGATTCCTTTACATCTATGGTCACAAAAGATCTTCAAAGAAATAGGAGATCTCTGTGGAGGATGGTTAGCTACTGAAGAAGAAACTGATCTCAAAAATCAATCTTAAGTGGGCAAGAATCAAAATTGCTGGTGATGGCAGAAAGACTCCCAATGAGGTTGGGATTGAAAGAGACCGTATCAAATTTTTCATCCTAATCTGGGCTGAAAGTCAGACAAGATATGAGCTGAAGACGCAAGAAAACGAACAATGTTTTGAAATAGAGAGATATTTGAACAATCAAGTGGGGTGCACCATATGGCAAAACACTGATAAAGGAAAGGCAAGTGGGCAACTTACACAAGGTTCGAGTTCGATGAATCAGAGCAGTAAAGTGACAAACAACGAGCTGAAATCCTATGACTCTGATTTGGCTGCACAAGTCATTTTTAATGATCTCTCGTGTGAGGTTTCTGATGATATTAGGCTGAAGCCTTATATTGAGGAAATGGCGCTGAAGCCTTATATTGAGGAAATGGGAGGACCTTCTTACTTGGGGGCAAAAGAGTCCTCTCCAGGGGATCCAATCCCCAATGAAAATCTTGAAAAATATGCCAAAGGCAACACTTATCAGTTGCAGTCAGCCAGAAGGTGGAGTAGAGATAGCAAGACTGAAACAGAAGGCAGGGGAGCAAAACATAAACACAAATATGGGGAATGATCATGTTGGAAGTGCTTTGGAACATCTAAAGCAATTTAGCTCTATCCAAGATTGGGAAATCGAGGAGGTGAATCCTATAGCAGTTCAACAACACAATCCATTAATGGATAAAAACATCGATGCAACACTATGGGTCCATCAAAATATGATCAAATTGGGAAAAATGTTTGGAGTAGATTTTCAAGGCCATGAAGAAGAAGCACTGGAGTTGTTAATGCAAATTGACAGCTGCAGACAGGTAAGAAGGGTGGAGACAGAGTTGGAGGTGAAGAAACAAAGATTCAAAGGATCACTGGAATTAAAAGGGTTAATTTCTTTTGATGTCAAATTCAAGAGTGACGGGAAAAGGAGTAGGGGAAGAGATCTATCAATCATTCAATATGAAGATCAAAGTAGGAATGTAAGGGGATTAAACGATAAGAAGAAAAGGGAGATCATAAAAAGTCAAGTGCAGAATT